CACCGGCTGTCCTGGGGGAGAGCCACCCCCTCGGCCTGGGAAGGGGAGCCCGGGGGGGTTGTCTCGTCCCTACGTGCAGGGAGGGTGCCGGGGGATCCATCCAGGCTCCTGCCGGTGGTGTCCGGGGATGGGCTCAGCCTGACACGCGGGAGGTGAACCCCGGGAAACACCTCTGAACCCCAGGAAACACATATTCACTATGGGGGTGAGGCTCCCCAGGGATCCTGCAGCGTATTCCCGTCCTCTGGGATATCCAGAAGCCGTCCTGGAGACGCCCTGCTGTCGGTGCTCCAGCCTGGGTCTCTTCCACCTCAACCACGCTGTGATTCTGCACTGAGTTTATTTAGGGCAAAGAACGCACTGCTGTGTGATTTTTTGCGGTGGCATTAAGTGTTTGTGCTGTGCTGCACTGGGGTGCTCAGGCCCGAGTGGTTGCAGAGTCCTCGGGCTCAGGGTGTGGGCTGGCACCCTGGACCAGTCTCCCCTTGCCTCTCCCAGTTCACTGCTCCCTCTGTTCCAGCCTGACTGAGAGGACACTGGGCTGATAAGAGTGTGGTAGAGCCCAGGCAGTGGTGGGAGCAATTCTTTCACAGCCGTGACTTGTGTCAGCAAGTGATGGAAGAGAAGCAGAAGAGCAGTTGCAGGATAAGCAGCCCCTGGAAATGTGTATTTGGGCAGTGGTGGCTGTGGTTTCTGCTCTGACCTGGAATGCTGAGTCCTAGTGCTGCCCATTGCTGCCTGGCAAAGTTCTTATCTCAGTCTTCCAGTATGGATGTGACTCACTCTCTGCAGCTCTGGAACACGTTATCTGGATGATGTCTGAGAGGTTTTATGGTGTTACCTTGCTCTGCACCCTCTGAGTCTCCTGGGGCAGCTGCCTCGGTGCTGCTGAGACTTTCCCAAAGGAATGGGTGGTTGTGGTGGCCCCACACAGCCTGTCTGGGGTGGCCCATGTAAATCCACGGGGGCTCTGTGGACCACAAAGGTGGTCGTGGCTTTATGGTGATGTCAGCCCTGGGGGAAGCTGGAGTCTCACCTCTGGTGGTGGCACTAAGGAATGGCTCCAGGATAAATTGTGTTTGATTTTTAACTCTGCGCCCACCTTGGGTCTTAGTCCTTGTGTGCAGCTGCAGCATTCCTGGGATGGGAGCCAGCCCGTGGTGTAGGGGCTGAGTCAACTGCTGTTGTCAGTATTGCTGCCCTGGGCATTCAGATACTGTGAGTCAGGTTCAAACCCCACGACTGTAAAAATAGTACAGTGTGGGTTCAGTGTCCTCTGGTATAAAAGCCTTCAGGGCTTACATGTTTAAAGGATTCTGGTTTTGGTTTTTTTTGTTTTGTTTTTCTTTTAGCATGGGTAAAAACTTACTTTAGAAAAAGATTGTAAGTTGAAAGATCCAGATATATCTTTCTTATCAGTACAAAAGACTTAGACCCCATGGCAGAGGTCAGACTCAATATCTTTTTACGGTGTAATTAGGGTTAGCATCATGCTTTCTGTGTCCAGGGGCTGTGCTCTACGTGGCCATGGATCTAATGAGGCAGAACTGTTCCTCAGTGTGAGATGCAGCAGCATGGAACGAGTTAATACCTCGTGGTTAGAGTTGCTTTGTATCAAGATGGAAATGACTAAGCACACTGCATTCCTGAAGTGTTACTTATTTTGATATAAAATCTGCTGCTTTGGTACTGCCCGTGTCTGTCAGGCATCAGCATGGCAGAGTTGCTCAGAGGAGCTTCATGTTTGTTCTGGAGCTGAACAGAATGGGAGCAGCTGGGAGCTCTGGAAGGGGTCCCTGCGGTGCTGGAAGTGCCCTCATCCCTCCAGGAACGACCTGGCAGCTTCCCTAGACTGCAGAAGAACAGAAACTGTCTTTTATTTGGCTACTAACACAGCAGGCTTGGTGACAAGCAGGTCTCTTGGGTGGTTTGGGACTGCACAGCTCTCATAAAAGGAAATTGCTTCAGAGCTGCACGGACTCGCCGCGTCGGTGATTTGTGTGTTCCTGTGCCTTTTGTGGAGCAGGACAAGGTAAGGAGCTGTGTCAGTGCCTTTGTTCAGCTGCTGGCGTGGGCAGGGGGCTGTGGGCTTCCAGCAGCACCTGCAGTGGGTGGGCTTGACCTCAGCACTAGGCAGTATTTTACTCTTGAAAAGCACTGGCAGCTTTCTCTCCGTGAGAATGCGGTCTCAGGAAACGGAATTGTCTCGAGACTTTGCATGGAAAATTTGTAATGTGCTCTCTGGCATTCAGGACTGGAAAAAGAGTCAGGGCTACCTGTCATGTGCTGTGAACGTGCCTCGTTCTTCTCCTTTGGATAAAGGCTTGGAAGCTGTCTTCATGCAGCTGGGATCAGAGAGGCAGTTAGGGAGAAATGTGTGACACTTAGTCTAGAAATTATAGCATTTCCCCCCAAACTGCTGCTTTCAGTGAAATAATTCAGTATTCTTGACTATGCTGACCTGCTGTAAAGTCCTGATGCAGTAAGGGTGATGAATTTGGCTTCTCTGGAAATACTGGGAAGCACATGAGAGCCACTGAAGGAGTTTGGGAGATCTCAGGAGAGAAGCATCACAAATCTGGTTAGTTTGTGATGGGAATGATGTGTGTCGTGCCTGATACGAGTGCTGGCTGCCTGACCCAGGTGGCCTCTGCCAGTTCTATGTCCCTGAGCTGTTTTAGCCTGTCCTGGGCTGCATCTGTGGGTGTCTTTGCTTGGATCCCACCACCCCAGTGTGCTCTTTCTTCTCCAAGGATCAGTCTCTACCCTTGCCCAAGCTCACAAGATTAAATGCCTAGTTCTTGATACCAGCCACTGCCTTGCAAGCCTGGGCAGGTGAAGGGCTGAATTCCTCTCCCCCTTATTATGGTTATTTTGGAAAAGGCAGTTCAGGGCTGTGTCTGGCAGAGCACTAAGCAGGGGAGAAGCTTTGAGCTTGTGCTCTACTGTCTATGTTTAAGATGAGCCAGGAGCTGTGTGTGTCTGGCTGTATCTGGTAGTTCTGAGATCAGTGATGTGCCTTGGAAAGATCTTTTGCTTTGCACTCAAAACTTTTTGGCTTTTCAGGTGAGTGAAGCTTATTGCTTCACTTTCTCCAGCTGGTGTGTGGAGCTGCACGGGCTGGGGAAGTAACATTATGTGGTAGTTTTATGGTGAAGGAGAGGGAATAAACTCAGTGTGGGTCCTGTTCTGCAGATGTTCAAGGCCAGCTTGGATGGGGCTTGGAGCAGCCTGGTCTAGTGGAAGGTGACCCTGTTGTGGAAGCAGAGATGTGGGCAGTGGGAGAGGGCAGGAGCACTGGGCTGACTTGGGCCATGGCTCGATATGAGGAAGCAGGAATGTGTCTGTCTGGCTGAGGAAGCTGCAGCACAGGCAGTTTTTGTTGCACCCTCACCAACGTGAGTCATGGGAGGAAGGGCACGGGGCAGGCTGGCAGAGCTGCCCTGCTTGGGCACAGCAGGGATGGACCCAGCTGGAAAGCTGTGCAGGGCTACTCAGCCTGCTCTGTGCAGTGATTTGTCCTCGTGGATGCTGGATAGCAGGAAAAGGTTCTTCCTCCAGAGGGTGGTGGGGCACTGAACAGGCTCCCCAGGGCAGTGGTCACAGAGCTGGATGACACTCTCAGGCACATGGTGGGATTTTGGGGTGTCCTGTGCAGGGCCAGGAGCTGCCCTCAATGATCCTTGTGGGTCCCTTCCAACTCAGCATGTTCTGTGATTCCATGCAGATGTTTTGCCAGGCTGCTCCTGGAGGAGCTGCCAGCTGGAGGATTCGGAGAGGAATTCCCTCTCAATATTCCCTTGGGAAACAAGGGAGCTGTTGGTGCAGCATGTGGGCTTGCTGAGGGCATGGGCTGCCCATGCTCCATGAATTCTGGTCTGGAAGTGCTTAGTCCTGTGGATAAACTTGTTGCTCTGCACTGTAGTGTCCTTCACGGCCTCTCCCAGTGCTATTTCTGCATCCAGCAATCCCGTGTTTGAAGACCTGGAGGGCAGTGAAGGAGCCTGGTGTGAGGCTGCACTGGCTCAGGAGGCTGTTTCACCCCTCTCCTCACCTGGCTGACCCCAACAGAGCCTTTCCTTCTTCGCCTGTGCCTCCAGTCCTCGGGAGCATCCTGGAGTGCTGCTGCTGCAGAGTAATTGCAGTGGCACAGGAAAAGGGAAAGCTGCTTTCCTGTCTGCTAATCAGGACTGTGCAGAAAGGGATGGAGGAAGGATGGCTCTGCTCTGGCTCAGGATGTTTTGGCAGCAATGCCTATTTATAGGAGAGGGCAGGGGCCCCTGGCTGCCCTGCAGGAAGGGGTCTCACAGCGGCCTGGCTACGGAAGCGTTGAGGGCAGGCTGGAATGCTGATGATGGAGCAAATATCC